GTATAGCACGCGATTTGCCTTTTTTTTCTACCACGCATGGCGTGCATCTTATACGATATATTTTATACGTTAGGAAACTAATAAGTCTACGGGACAAAAATCTCCTGGAAATGCTGTCTCTATATGTCTCTAGACTTGGTGGTTTTAGCTTCGTGTATCGAATATAAAATTTAAATATTAAACATAATGCATATTACACATAATCTGCAGTGCTTGGATTTTGAAAAAATTAGAAGGGGTAAACATATATATTTTTTAAAAAGAAGAGGGACTCCGAACCCCCCCTACCCCGACACTCTAAATTCAAGCACTGTGACATAGTAAAAAGTTTATCAAGACTCTAACAGTCTAATTTTGCAAGGCTGTTTTCCATATTGATTTATTTTGGTAATTGATAACCGATTTTGCTAATAATTGTTCAGAGATTATTTATATTTACTCATTTAAGACGTTAATAAATTAAAAAGTTTCAAATTTAAAGTTTTATGGATTTTTTTCTATTATTTCCCCTATTTTATGACATTGTGTTATTATTATTACTATACATAAATGTCGGACCCACGTCCCGTAACACGCAAATAATTATACAAAAATATAATATAATAGACGAAATGAAAAAGTACGGGTTTTTTAAAAAAAATACACTTTTTTTTATTCACTAGAAAGGTTTTGGGTTTTTATCCATGGCATTCGACGAGTTCGTGCACGAGCGGACATCGCTGCTGCAGTGTGTCGGCAAGCGAAATAATATAATAATAAAAAAAAACAATGTTTCAACGCTCGTCCATTGTGTGATATTACGGTACACAAACACAAGGGGTAGGTAGGTGTGCACGAAACGTTCCGATGCGCCGAAACAATGTGTAAGTCGATCGCGTGCGGTCCGCATCACTATGCTAGTAACACGAAAACAAAATAACACTTCTGTGCGGTTAATCAGTAGGACGACTTTCCCTGCAAGACTTTCAAACACTCTGACAGATAAAAAATTATTAAAAAAAAATTATAAACTGTTGAGACTAAATTAACGAAAAAAAACCACAATCGTATTGATAAAAAAAATACTACTATAATTATAATACCTATATGTACAATAGCCAACAGGATTTGTGTATAAATTGTACAATATTTTTGTTGCACTTTCGGATGTCATCGAATCAATTAATGAACATTTTTTGATTTGACCATTAATTTCTTGTATAGAACTAACAAGATTTTTTTTATTGATTCGACATTACTTATTGCAACTTTGTATAATGCGCAATCAATCAATGAAAATTGTTGATTGGATAATTTTTTTGTTATTATTATTTTAGGTAATTACCTATAAAACATTATTGTTACCATAATACATAATAAAAACATATTGTACACAGGTACACTACGATGCACTAACCTATCTGTATTAAGTAAATTAATTATTTTATCATGTACGACTCAAGTTAAAAAGGTACTCTGCTGTACAGTAGGTTACAAATGAGTCACTGTATAATGGATGGTATTCAATTTGAATTCAATGATAAAATATCATTGTATAAGAAAAACGATTCTGAGCGGAGACGATATGTCAGTCTAGGTATAAGAGATATTATATACTTATCTATGGTATTAAAAAAAAGCATTTAGGTAGTATTTTTACGACTACTTATCGTGTACACAGACACAAAAAAAAAAAAATTAAAAAAAAAAACACATTATAAAATCAATACATTCATCGTTCCACTCAAAATCTAAAATGTAACAAATGATAATGGCCATTCACTTGATAGACACTCGAGATAAACGTAGATAGATTATCTAATAGTATAGTTGATAGTCGCAACTGTCACAAACTTCAATATTCTTACAAGACTTAATAGTTACTTATTCAGTAGGTATTAAATAATATTAATTGTATATAGTTGGTAGTCGTTAAAAGCACAATTCAAGACTTGTGGATCATTTTAGACATTGGTGGTATAAAAGTGGTGTGTATTGTATGCACTGTGGGGTACAAAAAAATTGTACCTAAACTAATTTTTATACTTTTGTAAAGGTACGTGTATAGAAGGAAATTATAAAAATAATTTTTTCAAAAAAATTATTGAGAGTTTTTAATTAATTTGGTTACGTAAGAGGTTTTAGAAACTGTTAAATATAGGTAGGCCTTAGCAGTCACAGATATTTTTTATCACAATTGTGCACATTTGTATCTCTCAAGTGTTGTTATACTATATCTATATGTATTTCGATACAATACAATATCTACAAAAAACCATAGCAGTGATGTAACATTTTAACACTTAGAAACTAGGTATTTTCTGTTGTTTTTAGAAGATTAGAACATAATATTATTATTATTATATTGTCATGTACGATTGTCGATCATAATACATGGAAGTTTCATTAATTATTTCTAAATTATTTTTTTCTGAAAATATATAGTGATACCAAAAACATTATTTGCTCATATATAAAGATCGATTTAAGGAAAAATAAATTTAATTTTGAAAATTGTTTAATATAATATCAAATGCATATTGTCGGATGGAAGTAAAAACTTCAAATTTAACTAACCACAATTATTCTGTTTATTATTTTTAATGATTTGTAAATCGATATCACGTTGGGGCAACTTTATTATGTTCAAAACAAAAATGAAAAAATACAACTTACAAGTATCTGTAGATCAAAAACTCTTTATCGTCCAATAATAAATATATTTTATTGAATGTTTTAGAAAATGTATTATTTAAAAAGAAAAAAAATAGTTTAATAAACTTTAAACCATATATTTTATTATATTTACCTATTAAATTATATACCTATAACCTAGGTAGGTAGTACAGTTATTGGATTCTATGACCAATTTGTATAGTCTAAAATTAACCTACTGGATTTCTACGTCATATGATTTAATCGTTTTAGGTTTCTTAACATTAGCTTAGAACTTTAGAACACCTTAAATCCCCGTCGTGCTGTCCATTCATCCGTTAGTTACCAGATAAATAATAAATTGGTATAAAGGATATTATTTCCAAGGATAAGTTTTAAAAATATTGTTACTATGTACAACCATATAGTTATAATTATAATTTGTTTGCGATTTGAATTCACTATTTGTTTATCCGTCATACGACCAACAAGAAACTACCTGTCGTACGAATCATATTATTATTTTCAAAAACTGATAACATTCCTTACCGAATCAAATCAATCTATAATGTCTTCTATCATCGTATCTGAAGAAAACGCAACCGTACCGTCGTCGGGACTTGTAAAATCGCCGGCAGCACAACTTTTGGAAACCGTGTACACCGAGCTGAGGAACTGCTCGACCATTGTGCGGATGATGGCTGCACACGTAAAGCCGGTGACGAGTGTGCGTGTGTGTGAGTGCGCGCACGGACGGCGGCCGACACGCAACCCGTTCTGTTTGACGATACTTACGTCCTAGGTCGATAGCCCTGTGGGAAGGGATAAAAAGTGGACTGTATTTAGAATATGATGAATAGGAAGCTGGTTGAAAATAATATGATGATGAGTATAAGGTAACTCTAACAGACAACAATGTTTTTTTTGCTATAAGGTGTACAGAACAATTTATTGTAATGTCCTGCAGTAAACGTTACTTAAGCTAGGGTTAGTAGGTAACAGTAGTGCGCGATCACAAACGATCGCGTAAACAATAAATCAAGAGAAAAAAAAATTAATACAAATTACAAATACAAAGGTGATGTTTGTTGACAAATAAATCACGTGTGTACGACCTGATAAGTGATAACGACGGGTGATGATACCACGACGATGACGCTCCAGTTGACCCAATGCGACGTTGTAGTAGCTGCGGGCGGCAATCGGGGCTGGCGGCACTTTGCACTCTCGTCGACGTCGACGAATAGGTCGACGACACTGCGAACGTACGACCGGTGGTCGAACGGTTGAAGCGGATGTATAAACCAAATATTGGGCGACGCGGACACGAACTCGTTTTTTTCTGCTCAAGGGGAGACTTCGAAACGGTCACGCGAAAAACATCAATTGTCGCGGCGTAGGGACGCGGCACAAACGACAACAAGTTACTTAAAACACGGTTCGCACTGCGTAGGACGGGCGGGCGGAACACGTGGGTGAGAGTCGAGCAGGGCTCGAAACGCACAGCGAGTCGGGCGAGCGACGAAAATACACAAAGTTGTGTTGGATCACGACACAGGCGGTCGAGCAATCCAAAATGTCGACACTACGCACGGCGTGACATGACAAAGAGCACGGGCGGCTCGAACGACAAACACGTGGGTAACGAGGGTAACACGCGGTCGGGGTCGCACAGCGAGAATCGGACGGGCGACGAAAAAACAAAACAACCGTATCGCGACACGAGAGGTCGAGACGATACAAAAATCGTGGGGACGACGCACGGTGCAACACGAGAGCATCGACGGCTCGGAACAAGACGGTAATGACGGCGACGGAGCACCGGTTCGCGACGGTAAAACAATGCGGATGTGCACGACGACTCAAAAACATGACCGATCGCCTAGACGGCTCCAAAACGACGAAAATATATGGCGGCGGGTACAGCCAGCAGCGACTATACCGCAACGATACCGTCCCCTCTCCGGGGGTACAAAGTTCGCTGCCACATGGGCTGCCACACTACTCGGCGGCGGGGCGGCAGGGTGACAACATTGCGACATACGCGTATCAACCACGACCGCGCGAAATTTGATATGCCGACTGTGTACCCAACATTTCCTCCCCGCGTTGAAAGACCCAGGCGTCTTTCAAGAACTCATCTGACAGGAATATGGACGTTGAAGTCCAGATCGTACACATTACAACAATACGAGGCTATAGGTACATATATACATAGGTGGTATAATAATCATACATAAATAAATCATCACTAGACTAAATACATAATTTACATGAATGAGACTGATGCTCAAAAAAAAAAAAAAAAAGAAAAAAATAATTAAAATATTTTTACATAATGAGGACATTGGACATGAGGACAGGGATCAGGGCTCGACCGGTAAACGCACGAGTTTCACGACCGGGCGCTTGTAGATACCGTCCTGAGTGCGCACGGACACGACACGAACGACATCATCTGGTCCTGGATGGACCTCTGTGACGCGGCCGAGACGCCACTCGGTAGGTGGTCGAGACGGGGCTTCGACGATGACCATGTCGCCGACGGCGAGGTTCGGGGACGCTTTACACCATTTTTGTCGACCTTGCAGCGTGGATAGGTATTCGCGTGACCACCGTTTCCAATAGGACTGATGACATTGCCGAATGAGCTGCCAACGATTCAAACGGTTGATTTTGACTTCGGTGGTGTCAGGTTCAGGCACGGCGTGGATCGGCTGTCCGATCAAAAAATGTCCCGGCGTCAACGCATTTAGGTCGTGCGGGTCGGATGAACTCGGTGTAATCGGTCGGGAATTCAGAATGCCCTCGATGCGAGTGGTCAACGTATAGAATTCTTCGTATGTCAACACCTGCTGACCGATGACATGTTTGAGGTGAAATTTGACGCTCTTGATGCCGGCTTCCCAAATGCCACCGAAATGCGGCGCAGCAGGCGGGTTGAAATGCCATGTGCAGTTGAGGTGCGTCGAGAGACGGTCTTGGGCCTTGGCGTCGCGAAATAACAATTTTAATTGACGGGCGGCGCCGACGTAATTTGTGCCACAGTCCGAGTAGAGGTTGGACGGAATCCCACGGCGGGCGACGAACCGGTCCAAAGCCGCGAGGAAGGCGTCAGTGCTGAGATCGGACACGATTTCGAGGTGGACCGCCTTGACGGACATACAAATAAATAAGGCGAGGTAGACCTTGACCGAATGTGCATTCCGACGACGGTGTTCCTTAACGAGGAACGGCCCTCCGTAGTCCATACCGACGTGGGAAAACGGACGATGAGGTTGAACCCGGTAAGATGGTAGATCAGCCATCAACGGTTGAGGGCGGACAGCCTTATGGCGTGTGCACGGAACGCACGAGAAAATGACACGTCGAACTGCAGCGCGACCAGACAGTATCCAGTATTTTTGATTCAACATTGATAGTACCAACTTTGATCCGCCGTGCAGAAAGGACAAGTGGTAGTGTCGAATGACCAGGTCGGTGAGGTGCGAGGATCGCGGTAACAGAATCGGATGCTTCGCGTCGTAGCTGGCGTCGGAAAAACGCAGGCGACCTCCCACTCGTACAATGTTGTTGTCGTCGATATATGGTGCTAATTGTGCCAAAGATGGGGGGGTGATCGTAGACTTATTTTTTAACGTTTTAACCAGATCCGAAAAGTAATACTGTTGTGTCCGCTGTACGGCAATCGACAAGGACCTTTCTCGCTCGGAAAACGTGATAGGACCGACACGGATCGGTTGCCGTCGTAGACGATGAGATAAAAAACGAGAAACGTAAGACAATACTCGTAACATTTTTTCGAGCGACGAAAATTTACCGATGAAATCCAACGAAGACGGATGGACGTTGACGGCCAACGTTGCGACGACGTTAGGCCGAGTGTCCGGCAGCTGCTCCGGAGCGAGCGGAATAAATCTAGACGGTGGCCATTGGTCTTCAGGAATTCGTAGGAACTCCGGACCGTCCCAATAAATAGACGAGGACAACATTAATTTCGGCATGAGTCCACGAGAGGCGGGATCCGCGGGATTGTCGAGCGTTGATACGTAGCTCCATACGCACTCCGGTAGTAGCTGACGTATTTTGGCGACCCGATTGGTCACAAAAATTTTGAATTGTTTTTGGTCTGTGTCAACCACGATAAAACAACTGACGAATCCGACCACGCACGCAGACGAGATATAGACACTTCGGTGGACAGCACAGATTGCACGTGATGAAGTGTCTGGGCCAACAGCAGGGCCCCGCATAATTCCAAGCGAGGTATGGAAAGCGACTCGTCGACGGCGGCACTCTTCAGAGGGGCGACCTTGGTTTTACAAGTGATGAATTTAACGGAGATGTCACCGGCGGTGTTGACGAGACGTAGATACACGACGGCCGCATACCCTTTTATCGATGCGTCCGCGAAGCCCAATAGTTGAATGTCCTGATGACAGATGACGTCGATGTGACGTGGGAGGTTCAGGTCGAATACGAGCGGAAGCTCAGTGCAAAATTGTTGCCACATAGATTGCAGTTCGGGGGACATCAGGTCGTCCCATCCGAGTTTGTTGCACCATAATAGTTGCATAAAATATTTTGCCCACAGCAGCATAGGGCCCAGGGCGCCAATAGGGTCGAACAAGCGCGCAATGACGGACAACACCTGACGTTTCGTCGAAGAAATTTGATCAAGCCGGGTATGATAGGCAAACTTGTCGGTTTTCGTGTCCCAATGCAGGCCGAGGACCTTTACGGCGTGTTCTTCGCGCGGATCGAACGATATAGAGAGTACACGGTCATCGGGAGAAACGGACTCGAGAACGGTGGTACTGTTGCTAGTCCACTTGCTCAACATACAGGCACCGTTGCGTAGTAGACCGACAACGTCTTCCTTCCGACGTAGTAAGAGCTCTTCGGTGTCAGCTCCGATAACGATGTCGTCGACATAAGCAGCTCTAGTAAGGACGTCTTTAGCAAGTGGAAAACGATGACCGTCTTGCCGGTCAAGTTCGTGGAGACAGCGAATGGCGAGATACGGCGCGCAGTTGAGACCGTACGTTACAGTACACAATTGGAATTCGACGAGGTCGTCAGTGGGTGAGTCGCGCCAGAATATATGTTGAAAAGTCCGGTCTTTTTGACGGATTAAAATTTGCCGATACATTTTGACGATGTCGGCGGACAAAATGTACCTGTGCATACGGCAACGAAGTAAAATGTCGCGTAAATCAATTTGAAGTTTGGGTCCGGTGCACAATACATCGTTTAATGAGCGACCGGAGGACGAGGCGGACGAAGCATCGAACACGACGCGAATTTTGGACATGTCACCGTCAGCCTTGAGCACGGCGTGGTGCGGAATAAAATATTTACCGGGTTCCGGAGCCGGTACCATGTGTCCTAGTGTTTGGTAGGTGGACATGAATTTACGATAAGCAGCATACAATTCGGAGTCCTTAGCCAACCGTTTTTCTAGGTTATAAAACCGTTTCAACGCGATGGAGCGCGAGTCGCCGAGACCGTGACGCGGTGTGTCTTGTTGTTGAGCTGTGCTCGCAAACAAATGACGAAATGGTAGAGCGACACAGAATCGACCGGTGGAATCCCGCGAAGTAGATTTGGTAAAATATTCTTCACACCACTGATCTTCCGTGGTGGGTGACGTAGGTGCGGTGGGTTCTTCGACCAACCAAAATTGTTGTAATAGATCTCCAATTGACGGTGGAGCGATCGCGGTGGTCAGCGTGACTGGGGGTGACTTGCTCGGAGTAGAAAACGAACCAAAAATTATCCATCCGAGCTGGGTGTCGAGGGCCGATGGTAAACCCGAGTGGTGCTCCACACCCGCGTGAGAGCGGATAAGACTAGGTAAAATATCGGCGCCGAATAAAACGTCGATGCACGACGGAATATCGAAGTTCTCGTCCGCGAGACGGAGGTGTCGATATTGTTGACGCACGGTTGTCGGCAACCGTGTGGATGGCATGACGCCGGTAATTTGTTTTAGAATAACTAGTTCAACAGACGGGAACAAATCAGATTTAAAACGCGACGAAAATTGACACCTGGTGACACCTTGCACGTGGTTCACTGGACTTTGCGCGAGACCTACGACGTCGGATTTAAAACGGCGTTTCGATAGTCCTAACCGAGCGAAGCAGTCGCTTGAGATGGCCGAAATTTGAGACCCACTGTCGAGAAGTACTCGAACGGAATGAATTTGGTCCCAGGCGTCCTTGATGTGAATTATGGCCGTACCGAGGACGACCGTGGAGTTGGTGCATGCTGCACCTGAAAAGGAACTTGACTTGTCGGCGGAGGGACCTGAACTAGGACCTGAGCTGGTACTCTGATTAGTTTTGTTCACGGCCGATGACTGATCGGTATTAAGATGTAGCAAGGAGTGGTGACGCTTACTACTGCACGAGCGGCACACCCCTGTTGATGAACACGCGTTGAGCACATGAGACTGACTCATACATGAAAAACATAATTTTCTAGCCGCTACGAATTCGCGGCGCTTTTCAACTGTCATATCGTTGAACTTTGGACAACGGTAAATACTATGGTCAGCCTTATCGCATGACAAACAACCTCGTGACTTAGACTTGACCGATGTAGATGTGGTGGCGGCAAACACTGATTTTTTCGATATAACAGTTTTATTACGCGTATTATATTTTTCGTGTGGTTTCGTTGAAATATCAGATTTACTGGAATTTTTTATGTTCTCTAATACTCGACAGCGTTGTTGTACAAAACTGAGTAACTCGTCGAACGTCGGAATTGTCGAATTCGACGCATTGGATTCGAATAATTGAATCGTCGTCGAATCGAGAACTCGGGATCCCATGTGAAATAATAAAAAACTTGACAGGTCGTTGACACCGAGCGCTTTAATTATGGCTACATTTTCTTTGAACGTGTTGATAAACGACGTCAAGGCTGGTAGCGACTGATGTGCAATAGGTTTGAATGCAAATAACTTATCTAAGTGTGCCGACGCTAGCAGGCGCTTATTATCAAACCGAACGGACAATGCTTCCCAAGCGAGGACATAATTATTCGCGGATAACGGAAATGACTTGACAACAGCGAGAGCGTCGCCCGATAAACACGACTTTAGATAGTGAAACCGTTCGGCATCGCCAATGCCGGTGTTGTCATGTACGAGAGAAACGTAAATATCGCGGAACGATCGCCACTCCAATAGATTACCGTCGAAGCTGGGCAGCTGAATTTTCGGTAACGGAACGAATTGTTGAGGCGCGGACGCGATAGACGACGAAGACGACGATTTTATTTCGGACACACTCGCGACGACAGTTTTAATTTCGAGACGCATAGTCTCCATAGATGCGATCATTGGACGATCATCCTGATCAAACTCGGCCACACGGTCAAGATCGATTAACGCGTTAATTATAACGTCTTGTTGACGTTGAAATTGTTCGACATATTGATTTAAATCTTCGGCGTGAATAATTAACGACGGCACTCGATCGGCATCAGAACGTGCGGCTAAAGCTGTGACGTGAATACCTTTTATGGAGTTTAAAACGTTGTCGCGTTTGACACGTGCTCGAGCGAGAGCGTTTTCAGCAGTTTCTTCTTTTTTCGGTGCCATGACGACAGAAATACGAGATCAGGTGAAATTACAAAATTGACGTGTGATTGTGACGAAGTAGTCGCACAGAAAGATCCGGCCCGAAGGACCAAACAATGTGCGGATGATGGCTGCACACGTAAAGCCGGTGACGAGTGTGCGTGTGTGTGAGTGCGCGCACGGACGGCGGCCGACACGCAACCCGTTCTGTTTGACGATACTTACGTCCTAGGTCGATAGCCCTGTGGGAAGGGATAAAAAGTGGACTGTATTTAGAATATGATGAATAGGAAGCTGGTTGAAAATAATATGATGATGAGTATAAGGTAACTCTAACAGACAACAATGTTTTTTTTGCTATAAGGTGTACAGAACAATTTATTGTAATGTCCTGCAGTAAACGTTACTTAAGCTAGGGTTAGTAGGTAACAGTAGTGCGCGATCACAAACGATCGCGTAAACAATAAATCAAGAGAAAAAAAAAATTAATACAAATTACAAATACAAAGGTGATGTTTGTTGACAAATAAATCACGTGTGTACGACCTGATAAGTGATAACGACGGGTGATGATACCACGACGATGACGCTCCAGTTGACCCAATGCGACGTTGTAGTAGCTGCGGGCGGCAATCGGGGCTGGCGGCACTTTGCACTCTCGTCGACGTCGACGAATAGGTCGACGACACTGCGAACGTACGACCGGTGGTCGAACGGTTGAAGCGGATGTATAAACCAAATATTGGGCGACGCGGACACGAACTCGTTTTTTTCTGCTCAAGGGGAGACTTCGAAACGGTCACGCGAAAAACATCAATTGTCGCGGCGTAGGGACGCGGCACAAACGACAACAAGTTACTTAAAACACGGTTCGCACTGCGTAGGACGGGCGGGCGGAACACGTGGGTGAGAGTCGAGCAGGGCTCGAAACGCACAGCGAGTCGGGCGAGCGACGAAAATACACAAAGTTGTGTTGGATCACGACACAGGCGGTCGAGCAATCCAAAATGTCGACACTACGCACGGCGTGACATGACAAAGAGCACGGGCGGCTCGAACGACAAACACGTGGGTAACGAGGGTAACACGCGGTCGGGGTCGCACAGCGAGAATCGGACGGGCGACGAAAAAACAAAACAACCGTATCGCGACACGAGAGGTCGAGACGATACAAAAATCGTGGGGACGACGCACGGTGCAACACGAGAGCATCGACGGCTCGGAACAAGACGGTAATGACGGCGACGGAGCACCGGTTCGCGACGGTAAAACAATGCGGATGTGCACGACGACTCAAAAACATGACCGATCGCCTAGACGGCTCCAAAACGACGAAAATATATGGCGGCGGGTACAGCCAGCAGCGACTATACCGCAACGATACCGTCCCCTCTCCGGGGGTACAAAGTTCGCTGCCACATGGGCTGCCACACTACTCGGCGGCGGGGCGGCAGGGTGACAACATTGCGACATACGCGTATCAACCACGACCGCGCGAAATTTGATATGCCGACTGTGTACCCAACAACCATTATATTAGGTTTTTATATTTTAAAGTTTAAACAACAGCTGTAGATCTACAGCCATGCTTAAATGCTTTAAACTAAAATACAAATTGATGTTAGTAGTATACTAGTATGATAAATCATCTAACAAAAGTTCAGTTGTTGCTATAGCATACCCAGCAACACCTGTAAACACGCCTATGGATATCGTTTAAATATATAATTTTAATTTTTAAGTTCATATCGTCTCTCGTTTTCCGGAAGTGGAATTATTTTATTAGGTACATTATTGTTTTATTATGACCGATTTGAGCATTTGCAGATATCAAGAACAGGTACAAAATATATTTCTCATAAGGCTCTGAGTGTTGTAGGACTCGCTACACACTCTTCGTACCGGTACAACGACTTATACGATGACTTGTGAAGGTCTATTATAGTCGCCAGTCGGGCGCATCCGGTTTCCTCTCGTACTACAGTACATAAATTAAATGTGGGTTTCCCCTACATACGTGTAGGTACGTGTGCGTGCCTACATTGACCGGATGAATGGTCTCACAAATGGTTTCCCGTAGGTCAACTCGGTGAGGATTGGTAATATATTAGATACCTCATATTATATTCGTATGTTATCAATATAGAGCCGTGTTCACGAGAAAAGTTGAACTGGATCCAACTTTATGTGGTATCATGGTTAAGCCTGTGGTATGAACGTATAACACTCTGGTATACCGAAAGCTTACCATGTATACCAACCAATCACAGAAAAGTATTTTCATGCACGTACACGTACACGAGTGTAGTGGAACTTAACAACAGTCTGGCGCAAGCAGTAGCGTAGCTGGAGCTCAATCAAGGGGGGGGGGCTATTTAAAAACTGTAGTACACTACAATTAATAATAGTTATAATAATTAATAATATTATAATATACAGTATATCTAATATCTATAATATACGCGACCAGTCGTATTTTTTCCTCTCCCCCCGTCGATCCGAATCGTAATAATAATACGTTAGTGCGATCGAAACGATGATCGCGTAGAGTAACTTCGCTTATATATATTATAATGTTATTAGGAGGTATACCATACGTCCGACTGGTTTAAAACCGAGAACAGCGATAAATCGATCGGTGATTTGTTTACGTTTGTTTTTACAGAGCAACCACTACATACGTCTTACATTATAATATATTATAGCGTTGATTTATATCGATTAGACGCTGCAGCACACACGTAGGTATATACATATATATATTGTACGCAGCTGACAAAATAAAATGTTTATTTGGTTATTTTTCCCCGGAACATTGGTTTGTTTTCGTAAATCAGAACTCATATTATTATTATTATTACTACCGTAGGCATAAATTATGGTTAGTGGGTGGGTGGGTGGTACGTGTGAGTGTTAGATCGTGGACCCTGCAGCGGTCATTGTATAATAATATTATAGTCACCGTCGTCGTCGTCGCTGTCTCGGTGAGTTCTTTATCCCGAGAATCTTGTTTTCGCGGTCCTTGGCGCCACCGTGATGGTAAATAACAAACGCGGTTCGGACCCAAACACGGTTATCTGCTGTAGCAAAAAAAAAAATAATAATAATAATAAATACTTATTATATATGGTACTTATATAACATGTATAGGTATATGTTATATAAGAACAAGAAATCTCGACAACAAACGAATTCGGATTTCGTATTGTTGAGACCTCCAATAGCGGCGCGTTCGGGTTCTCGATTCCATTAGAAGAGGTCCCGCGCACGAGTTATTTGCGTTATTATCGGTTCATCGGTGACGTGCACGCCACCGCCGACGCCACTGCCGCCCTCCCGACCACCCCCCCGAGGCGATGCTAAACATTTTGGGTCTGGACTCGTTTTAGCGATACAAAGATGCATCGCCAAATTGGCGGGTGCAACCGTTCGCATTGTGCGCCGTGTACCACCTATCCATGTACTGGACGTGTATTATTATTATATTGTATTTTATTATTATATACTTAACATGTGTATAAGAAAAATCCTCCTCAGTAAAGAGGAGATTGAACAATTTAAAACGTAATCGGCCAAAATCGATTCCGTACAATAAAAGAACGATTTCTATCCGTGTTTTGCTAAAAACACGTCAGATGGTTTTTTCATTCGAATTCCTGAGGGGCGCCATCATTTTCCTCCAAAAAGGAGATAAGTATAATAGGCACCTACGGTTTTCTTCCGATGTCCACTTTTAACCAAATAAAGAAGAGAGGTACATTCCATTTTCATCCACACACTTTTTTGGATTAGATTCGAGTCTATTTTCTTCAAGAATCAAGATATTAATATTATCACGTATTCATTATTTTAAATACTGAATTCATTCATTTTATTTGTATTATTTACGAAACTATGATTTTTTAATTAGTATTCTTATAAAAGTGCATGGATAATAAAAAAAAATACTTTAATTTGTGTATTATATTTTTATTTTTAGTTATATTATAGTTCTAAATTAAATTATAATAAATTAATATTTTATCACAATGGTTTTTAATTTCAATTTATTTCATATTCGATGTTTAGACTTAAAAATATATAGGTCCGAAAACGATAGGTAGGTATTCAAATAAATTCATAAGATGATGACAATTTCTCATTTTAACAACGTAGGAAAAAGCCCGAAAAGGGTAAGTTATTTGTTTTTTTTTTTAGGAAAATAGACATTGGAGATTCCTCGGAAGAAAATGCCCTCGTCAATCATCTTTCGTCTACTTTACATACATTTACGTACTATAGTATTATACTATCGTATATGACACGTTAAGTTTAAGGCACGTTACATTTAATGAACAGAACAATAAAATACTTGCCTTATAGATCTTATCTATTAAAATATTTATACATTATACTGTATAATATAATTATAATTATATGTACCTAATGCTGTAGATTCTTATTATGTCGAACGTCGATATACTTATTTTTATGTTATATTGATCTAAATTAAAACCTTGGACAAAGCATTACACTACAGTTAGTAGAGTTAATAATATAAAACCCGATATCTTGAACTTTAATTGGACTTAAAGAGTACTGGAAACTAGGTTATATACTTATATATTATTATATATATAACTTACTTTTTTTTTCGAGTTAATCGAGGGATGCAGGAGAAACCGCGTTAGCATTACTTCTCCTCCGGCCACCAATTATATAACATACTATTGTTATTATTTATAATTTATAAACTATTAAGATGTGTTGAAAAAAAAAATGTACGTAATATTATAGCAATGCCGTATCTTTTTATCAAATTAAAATAAAAGATTTGTTAACAATTTTAAAAATTCCGTTATTATTAATCCATTGTTGATAAAGATGAATAATATGTTTAACCATCATCCACCAAGATAAAGGTACCTTTACGGCTTTACCCAATTATGGACTTGAATTTAATAAATTATCTAGTTGTCAAAATATATAATAAGCAAACAATAATTGGATTTTTAGCCGATTCATTCTCGTTTTGCACCTGC